ACATCGACTTATTTCTCATATGCCAAACGGATTGTTCGCTGAGCAATCTATTTATCTATCTAATCTATTCTAATCTCTGGTGTTAGCTCTCTAAACATCTATTCGTTGTTTTTTTTGTTGCCAGTGAATTTTCAAACCGATTTATGCATTCGATATGGCCAGTGTCGGTAAGTGATTAATACTTATCGAAATAGTTAACCTAAATACACCAGACGGTCACATAATTTATAGCCTACATCAGTAACCCTTTATCTTCTCCCAAAGCAAAATGTTTGCAGTCGGTTTATCGATGGACGCAGTTTGCTTTTTCGGACAAAATGATGGATCATTACATCGAAAAACAGATAGCCAATCTCACAACTATGATACTGTCGTTCATAGAAACCAAATATACGAACTTCACTAGCTGAACTGTATAATAACTTGATTTAAAAGTTGCGATATTGCCTCACCGCATTCCTTGTTTAATAAACTGACGGATCGAATTTGTTGTTGTTATTTCTGTACGCCCCTGGTTTGGGAAGAATCCAAGTCACTGCACTGGAGCGTGCTGACTGTAATTGTGCCAATACGATTTACTGGGTCAACGGGTAAAATACAGATCAATAATCATTAGGCCTGTCAATATTGATAAGATTGATAGCGAGACCCACTAGTCACGTGATATTCGATGCGAGTGAGTTGCGGCATGATTTTGGTTTTGATCACAAATCCTTCGCGAAGGAATGCCGCAGAAGTATGTGAATATACTGAGTTCACTCTACTCACATACTTCTGGTAGCCTAAGGGTCTACGGCGAGCTGAATCGGTCGTTCTTAACTAGCTGCAGTGTTCGTCAAGAGTGCCCTCTTTCGCCATTCCTGTTCATTTTCGTCATAGACGAAATGCTGAAAAACGCACCAAGTGCTCTCCAGAATGTAGGTAATGAATGGTCAGCTGGAGAAAAGCTGTGCAATTTGGAGTACGCTGACGACATCGGTTGCTTGTTTGAATGTATGAAGGATCCACAAGGAGCACTTGACAGATTATTAAGTTCTGTCTCTCCGTTAGACATGTATTTTGCACCTTCAAAGTGCAAAGTAATGCTACAAGACTGGGTATCGCCGAGTTCTGTTTGAATCTAGACGGTCAGGAATTAGCTGAAGTTGACTGCTTTTCGTACCATGGTAACTGCGTGACCAACGACGGTAGCGCATCGAAGAAGATAACCGCCCGCATTTTCAAGGCTCGAGCAGCGTACGCAGGACTAAAATACCTGTGGCGCCGCCATGACGTTTCACTGAAGTTGAAAAATCGCGTATACTGTGCCACTGTACGATCAGTTCTGCTTTATGGTTGTAATACCTTGAATTTGCGGGTAGAAGACACTCGTCGTTTAACAGTGTTCGACAATCGCTGCTTACGTAGTTTGGCTGAGATTGTATGGATTGAGCTGGTTAATAACTTAGAGGTAAGTCGTCGGGTGTTTGGGAATACATCAAACAGGAACTCTCTGTCTCATCGAATCCAGCTCAATAGGCTCCGTTGGTATGTCGGACGATCGCCTACCACAGCGCGCCTTGTTGCAGTGGTTGTTACAGGCTGGCGAAAGCCACATAGAGGCCAGCAGATGACGTGGAGACGAGGCATGGAGAAATGCACAGAGCGACTAGGTAGAGTGTCTCTCGGCTTCCGGGTTGGGGTCCAAAAGACTCCGAAACCGCATGGTTGGAGACACGAAAGGTCATCGGCTGCGATCCGACAGCAATGGAGATCACGCTGTCACTTCTTATCAGGCCAGAATGCTTGAAATTGTGCTTATGCACAGTTGGACTGTGTACTCTGTGTTGACGATAGATGTTCGCTTTCTTTTGCCGTCTTAAAAATAGGCCCAATCCTTGTCCTGTTTACACATTCTCACTTATTTTGTATGCATTGTGAGTTTGGCAGCGATCAGTGAAGTTCGCTTCACCGTATTACGCTGTACAATGATGATGATGTTGATTATACTGCCTCTCTGCATTGCATGTCAGGTTTTGGTTAGCGAATGTCTCCGGTTGTGACTTTTCCGAAAATATTCACCTGCCTTGGCCTAGGAAACCTAGGAATATTCCGTCCACTAGCAATTCATAGACTTTTTAGTTGCCATTAAAATGAATGCGTTGTGATTCGTTTGTCACACAGTCTGGACTCAGACACGCGAAGTATGTTGTTTTAATAATTCGGGTTTTGGACGTTAGTTCAGGACTGGGAGTTTTGGCCTCCAACCCGAAAAAACGTTCGCGTTCCGAGTTCTGTTATAGCATGCAAATAGTATGCACTGCCGGTAACCCACAATGGGGAGAGAACAACTGTCCAATCCCTTTTGTCGGTTTAAAAGATGCTTTGTCATGTCTTTCATGCACACCAGTTCAAAATGTTTCGCTGGAGTATCAACCGAGTTTGTCATTGGCAAAATTTTCTCGTGTTTTTTTTTTCACTCTTCAGCTGCGCTACACACTGTGTATTTGAGGTCAACTATTCTACTGCTATCGAAGATCAGATTCTCCCTGCACAGTATTCCCCTTCCCCATCACTCTCTTCTTCACTCTCCAGGCGTTCATATTCTACAATCATTTGTAGATTTTACTTTCGCCCACACAAATGTACATACGAATAAATCATTCTTTATCCCACAAATTCGCGTTCTTCCAATTGGTTCGAGTTTCGCTCTGAATCTATTGGTATGCTTGTTTATTATTACAATTTTTGCATCTTTTTAAGCGGTTTATCTTAGACCGACTGACACTATATGAAAACGGATTCGCTCTCAATTTTACTTGAAGCTTACTAAAAGTACTCTTTCCCGGGGAAAAAAGGAAGGCATATGGTGAAAAAATGCATATAAAAACCAACGGTTCTGTTCTGTTCGGTTTGTACAACCATCAACCATGCACC